TAAAGAAAAATAAAAAAATTCACAAAAAAATCTGGGCAGGCCCGTTCTCAGCAGGTCTCTGCCATATTTGAACAAGATAGTTCAAACAAGCCGCTACGAGGCAACTAATGCCGGAATATTTATGGAATTAATGTCTGGCCGAATCCTGTCGCATAGTGAATTTAAATATATATTTAAAAAATTAAAATTATTATGTACTAATGAAACGCATTTATATTATGTTGTATCATTTTTTTCTTAAATGTAATAGTGCGCACAAATTGAACGTTTCAACGCAGCGTTTCAAAACGCAAATGGAAAAAAAATAACCCAGCTATGTTTAAATTCAACCGTTAATTTTATTTTAATATGAAACGTCTAAATTTAAAACAAAAAAAAATGGTCTCCAATATAAACCAATGCATTTAAAATGCATTATTTGCCTTTTGAAATGCTAAATTTGTGCGCATTATAAGGACTATGACTTGTTAAGGATAGACGTGTCGTGTTCTTTTACAAATCGATCTCATTTACATATAAGATAAAAATGTCATTTTTGTAAAAAAAAGTATTTATTGTTTATATTTAATTAATTATTTGATTAAAAAATAACAAAGAGAAGAGGTTTTATTTTATATTGAAAATTGTATTAAATATTATATTTAATCGAAAATTCAAAATTGACTTTTTGGTATTAAAATAAAAAAAAAGATATATGATCGAAATTATTTAAATTTATCGCCATTAGCGGTGGCACACTTAGATTTTTTTTAAATGAAATAAAAATCATACACGTTCTTGAAACAAAGAATATATTTTTTTTCCTGGGAATGTTGATTCTATGCACATAGCTATTTGTGAGAACTGAGAACAAAAAAAATTGATTATTTTTTTTTTTACAAAAAAAGGATTTTAATATTCCACCCAATCCAATCTCATCCATCATCTTAATTTAAAATAAGATCCTAAATAAACTAATTTTATCATTAGATCCATGTTCGGTTCGAATTTAAAAATTTTAAAAGCCCAGTTCAGGCTTCGGAACAAATTACGGGTTATTACATTTCTCTATCACCGGGCCGGGCCTAAAAACTTTTAATTAAGATCTGGTCCGAGTTTGAGAATTAAAAGAAAATAAAGATACGATTTTTAAAAATTATATATATTGATACGTGGTATATTTATTTATTGTTTCATATTTTCAATTTCCTTTTGGAATGATTTGCAAAATAGAAGAGCCAACATTAGTAAAAAAAAATAAAGATAAATTTATTTCGGGCTGAGCCCACAAGGTAATCACAAAATAAAAACTGGGGTGGGGGGGGGGTTAAAGAATCTCCAAAACCGGCCTGGACTTGAAAATGATAGAAAAATTATCGGGGCCTTAAAAGTGAAATATATTTTTCTTCTTCAAATCTTTACCGGAACCAAAAATTTTAACCTCTGTAGACCTCTGCAAATTTTTCTCTTGCGTTTCTGCAAACCGTTATCAACGCCTCAATTTATAGTAAGCGCGATTTGCACAAGCGGCGCGAAATTAAACGCTGCGTAATTTACCATAGCGAGCCAATAAGAGATAAATAATTTATAAATAAGGAGCGAAACGATAACGTGATAGCTATTTACGTATAAATCAAAAAGTATTGTACAGCTGTGACAAATGAGCTGTGATTTTACTGGCGATTAATTTCGCATTTCTTGAGCAAATCACGCTTACTATAAATGAGGCATAAGTTTGAAATATTTTTGTTCAAAATACATTTTAAAAAAAAGAAAAGATTATTCAGATTTTGAGGTATAATTACATATAATTTCCAGACTTTATACAAAAAAAATTAGATGATTCCCATAGTAACGTAAAAAAAATAGATAGACATTAACCAGACTAGTTTATATTAAGATATATGGGGAAAAAAAGGGTAATTTATTTTCAAATTATCTCTGTTTTATGGGATTATGCCTCATAAAAAATGATTTGATTCATAACAAGGACAAATAAAATCAAATGTCATATGTAATGATATTTAAATGTTATTCATCTGTGTAGATGTTGTTTATGATATAACATAAAATTATACTGATATCGGTATAATAGAAAAATGTAACTAGAGCTTATAAGCCAGTTATAATCAATTTTTATGCGCCCTCTATAAATCGGAAAATTCAGCTCAATCGTAAAAAATGGGCAAAAAAACGCTCTTGAGAATAGATATAAAAATTTTTTTAGGTTTACCTCAAATTTAAGCTAAATTAAAATTTTGATGAAGAGATATTAATTTTTATTGGATTACACTTTTTTGGAATTTGCTTAAAACTAGGCTTAACTGACTTAAACACTAATCAGGAAACAGATAAATTCAGAGTTTAAGGTTTGCGGAGACAGCGATTATTTGTGAGATGTATTAACCTTGAAAATAATATGCTACTAAAACAAATTTTACCGTTATAATAGCTATTAATTTTTTACTATTATAATAATTATAAATATATATTTTTATCATCTTTGACATTAAAACAATTTTTATACAAATTATAAAAAAAAATAAAATAATTATCTGATTAATTAAATGTATTTCATTTTATATTTTAATTACATGAATTTTTATACAAAGCATAAAAAAAATAAATAATTATCTGATTAATTAAATGTATTTCATTTTACATTTTTAAATCACATTAATTTTTATAATCATTTTGACAATTAATTGTTGCTCAAATCAAATTGTTTAACAATTAAATATTATATAAGTCAACTCTGGTTGATTATAATAATTAAAAATTGCTAAAAATCTCAGGAACCAAATTGTCTAAAATTTATAGGATAGGTATTATATATATACTGGAATACCTGTCAGCCAAAATTAGACTTTCGAATTAAAATAAACATGATTGCATGAATAGAATTATGTAGGAAGGGTGGGCGCGTAGGTGTTCATGCCTCCTTAAAACTACTGAGAGTTCCCTAAAACATTTCCAAATTTCAATTTTTCTGCAAATGTTGTTGCTAATTTTAGATAAATTCCCCCTTTTTGCTCACTTAAGAATAAATAGAATTACTTTTTCGTCTGGATTAGGCTATTTAGCATTTATCTTTATATATCGTGTTTTTTTTAAAATATTTAAAGAATCTCATTTTGCTGAAAATGTATATATCTTACGCTATATTTTCAGACAATTTTATAAGATATTACACATATTGACTAAGGTAAATATCTAAATAATTAACAAGCAATAAAGGCCAAAAATCTTTTGAGTATGAAAATAGTTTTATTAAGCAAAATATATAATCGGGGATTAGTTTTACCTTTGACTGGCCTTGTAACTTTAAATTTTATTCATATAGCGAATCCTAAGAGAATACCAAATATCAGCAAGTTATTTATTCATATAATATTTATCACCTGTCTAGAACTTGTCTGCTCATTATAACTTTCATATAATTTGGGAAAAAAATAATCCCTCTTCAGGGCTTTCCGTTTTTTTAAGAAATATAATGAAATTTCTTTTAATGAAAATAAATGTATGAATGATATTTAATCAAAGAAACTAATATAAGTGATAGTGATCTATATCGGGCCTAATTTTTCAAGCCCGGCCGGGCCCAAAATTCTTTTAAAAAAGTTTTGCCGACCCTGCTGGAACCCGAAATTTCTTTTAAGATATTTTATCGGTCCCGCCCGGCCCGAAATTATTTAAATATGGGAATTGATTTTTATAATTACTCAAAATAAAAGATATAATGTTATAGCGTCTGTTTTCTATAAATAAAATCAAATATTTTATTTTACATAAAAAAATTCAACATAAAATTGATAAATTTAGATATATTTGAAAAAATTTCCAAGGCCCGACCCTGTCCGAATTTTTTAAAAAAATATTAGGCCCGACCCAACCCTTACCCGATTTTTTTTATACAGTAGGGCAGACCCGTAGCCCGTTTGGACCGAGCCTACTTTTGCAAATCTCTAATAGGAGAGACCGGGATTAAACTAATGGTATTTGCCATTTTTACCAAAAAAATTGAAACAAAAGCAAAAAGAAACAAATTATGAATTAATATGGAATACACTCCCACCCCTACAAGAAACGTGTAGTTCTACTGTAGGGATGATTAACTATCTAAAATGTGCCATTTCTGCCACTTTACCTTCTACCCAGGGTAAAATGTCTAAACAACAGAGTAAAATGGTTAAACTGATTTGCTTTATTGATAAAAATATTAGAAATCAAATATATTAAGTATAAACTAATCAATACAATAAGTGATAACATATTTTTTGAGGAATTGGTAATATTTATTCATATTTTTTTTATAAATAAACTTGCTCCACTTTTAGTGGATATGATGGAAATGAAATTTATTTTATTTTTATTGAAGAATATTTGGAAAATAAGAATATTCTTGAATTAGAAGAACTACATGTTCGTAACGTGTCCCACGAACCATTTACACAATTAAATTTAAAAAAATAACAATTAATCTAGTACAACTTGTGAGTAGTGTTTTTAAGCGCCCGATTAATATTTTAGCCATATTAACAATTATGTTATGTATAAGCCTCAAGAAAATAAAGGTCTAAACTTTTCTGCCACCTATGAACAAAATCTCCATCCTAAATAACGGATTCATGCACTGAAAATCTAAAACTTGACTTAAATCTGCATATTATTTTTTTAAATTTAGAAATTCCTTCCTTCCTTCCTTCCTTCCTTCCTTCCTTCCTTCCTTCCTTCCTTCCTTCCTTCCTTCCTTCCTTCCTTCCTTCCTTCCTTCCTTCCTTCCTTTAAGAAAGAAAGATATGGATTATTATACTTTAAAAAAATAATTATAAATCCAATTCTTTTATAATATTATACTAATTAATAAATTAGGTACTTACTTATAAGTATTAGATTAATTAAATAACGTATTTTTTTTGGATTTATGTTTTTATGTTTTAAAATGTAGTTGTCATTTGTAAAATATTTCCTATCTTATTTTTTAAACCAGAAAACAAAGTTTTCAAGCCTAATATCTTTTAACGGATTATTATTTTTGTAAATTTTTTTTTTATAAGAAAAATAATATATTGATTTAAAGAATTTTATTTTATCATTAGTAAAAATATTTTTTTTTAAAAAAAAAGAAGAGAAGAAGAAGAAATAATTATATTCCCCCCCCCCCGATCAAATGATGAGCATTCATAAATTAATCGGGTCCGAAATACTTATTTATCAAGCCAACAATGCCACTCACCGATTCACAAATTTCGCATACACTGAAACTAGTTTTCTCTATCGGCAAGAATAATTTTTTAAAAAAAAATCAAAATAAATAATACCGTCAAATTTTTAAGATGGAAAATGTAACCTATATTTTAAACGTCTTTGATAGATCCCATATAATATCCCCGAATATAACGTCAAAAAATGCTAGACAGGGGGTCTTGCTCTTCAAGAATATATACGCTCAACCTTGGTACATTCAGTTAGTCTATAGTCTAATATTTGGCGCCCTTATACTTGTATCGACTACAGGGAACATCGTGGTCATATGGATCATAATTCGTAACAAGAAAATGAGAACGGCTACCAATTACTTCATAGTGAACATGAGTGTATCAGATTCTTTGTTAGCGACCCTCAACATATTCTTCAATTTCATATACATGATCAATAGCCATTGGCCGTTTGGCAACGAATATTGCGTGGTCAACAATTTTGTGTCAAACTTTACCCTGGCTTCCAGTGTATTTACTCTAGTCGCTATAAGCATAGATAGGTTAATATTACAAATTACCTCTTTTTCTTTCTTTTCGTTGATTAAAATTACCAACTACAAAAATGTAATTGTATTCTGTATTTTAATTACATAAGTTTAATCCTTTTAGACTACATGGGAAACTTATTTATTTTTTAAACTTTTAAGTCTCGATAACTTTAATCTCTTTCTAATGCAACTGTCTTAAGTTGTTTATTGGATATCAAAAATAGATTGAAGTTAACAAAAATATAAAAAGAAAAAAAAACATATTTTGGACATAGGGTTAAAAAATAAAATTATAATTTGATTTATCAATATATTTTTTCTTTCGATTTTTTGGGGGGAATGTATATATTTCATCCTATTTTACTGTTGACAAAGAAATATAGAACGACTTTGGGTTTTGGGTTTAGAGGTGTATAATAAAAAGAGAACATTTGTTATTTAACCCTTAAATTTCATGTTTATTTGCCTCTAAATCACAGGTTATTTAAAATTTAATTTTTTTTCTCATAAATATAAAAATTTATACACTTTTGACAATTAATTACAGAAATAATAAAGGATAAATATGAAAAGTGCGTAACTAATGGGGGGGGAGGTGTTGATAGGAGCCCCCCCCCACTCCCCCCCCCCCAAAATGTATCCAATATATAATGGATAATAATTTGAAAATAAAATTACTAAAAGTTTGTAACCTTTAAAATAACCAATATAATTCAAAATTTGTACAAAATAAAGGATGAAAACCCAATTATTTTTATTAAAATATAGTATAGGCAAAGGCCTAAGTGTACCCTAAAGTCATCCAATAAAATTCATGGCGGAAAACCCCGTCCATCAGCATTTCCCTCCCCTATAGGAAAATCCTGGATACGCTTATGATATGCACAAAATGAAGACTTTTGCAATTTCGGATAGGACACTATTTTTTTTGAAAAAAATGTTATCATATATTTGAAAAAAGACTAATTGACATTCGAATTTCATTTTTTTATTGTAAAGCCATGAAAAATTTGAAATCGATATTAATCTATAGAATAAATTAGTAGCGCATCTATTTATGAATGTGATAAATAGAAGTAAATTGTAGTATATATGGGATAAGAGGTAAATGATTATAATAAAATATCAATTAAATAATAGTAAAAACTAATATTTTCACGATCAGATATCAAGCACAGATGATTTATAAAACAGTGATAGTAGAAAGAAATAGATGATCATAGAGGAAAACTTAATTAATATTGAGAAAAAAATGTTAGATATAAATATTAAAAATCTGGTGGCCAAAAAAAATTCGTACACAAAATTTTACGGTAAAATGCCAGACTTTTCGAAAAACTTTAAGGGGCCTGGGATGTCTTAAAATATTATTGCGGGCCGGGTTGGACCGGGCAAAAACAGACCGGGCAGGGCAACTTGTACATCTTTCGGGCCAGATATACAGATCTCCAGCAATGTTATAATGGATTTTTTTTAGATTTAATTAAAATTGCTTGTAAAAAAATAGTTTACTTTATGTTTCTATTAGAAAATATTGTACACTTGTAAATGTGTTCAAGTTTTAATCTGAACGAATTCGGTGTCTGTAATTCGGAAGACAGACATAAGCTTGCCCTGAATTTTTATCATTAAATATTAATAAGTTCCTTGCCAGTTTAATATAAATTATATTAAGTTTGAAAAGTTCATAAAAAAAAATTGTCTGAAATTCATAAGAATGAGTATTCCAAACATAACGGCATACATTTCAGGCAAAATCAGATTTTTAAATATTTTTAAGAACGCTCTCAGAAAATGATTTAAAGTTGAAAAAATAACACATGGCCGGAAAAAACACAAGGACGATAACTTATATAAAAGAATGTAAGGCAAGTATTATCAAGAATGATATAGATTTTTAACAAAATTCGCAGCTAAGGCAATTATTATCAAGAACGATATAGATTTTTAAGAAAATTCGCAGTAAAATCATCTTAAAGTTTTATTTTATAAAATCAGTTTTGATTTTGAAAACTAATGTGATAAATAATCTTTTTTTTTTGGTATTAGAAATAATATCGATTAAGAATAAGTTATTGAATCGTAGATAAAATTAATTATATATTTTTTTGCATACGATGAATTTATTGATCTAGTTTGAAATTCTTCGATAAAATTTGCCAATAAAAAAAAAGAAGGCACAATGAAGAGTAAATATTTAGAAAATAGAATTACATGGAAACCTTCAAAAGTGACCACAAAGGGGCCGTTACTTTTTGGCCAAATTAAAAAGATCGTATACAACTTTTATAAATAAAATATGTTTACGAAAATTCAAATGCTCTTATTTTCTAAAAAAAAAGATACATCTTTTATCCTAAGAAGCATGATGCTCCTAAGAAATTGATGAATATTTACTATCTCATATCTTAAAATAATGTGATTCTGAACTAACCACGGTAATTTTGTGGCCTTCTAATTTTTCAATGCTGCAGAGATTTGGTATATTGACATATAGATTGTATAGAAGTAACATTTGTTTTTCTTCTTAAGATTTACTATGCTTATCTATTGAAAGTCCATGAGTTCTCCTAACTAAAAATAAGAATTAGTAAGGTGTGAAATTGCATTTTTTAAAAAAAGTAAATAATTAGTATGGTTAATTTTAAAATAATACCTAGATTTATGGGAAAGATTTAAATATTTAAACATATTTTGATTAAGGAACATAATTATTAGAGGACTATCATGCTCTTCTACTGTTAAAATTATTCTTAATACTCCAAAATAATAAGGATAAATTTAACGAGTACTTGCATCCTTTTTCATGCGGATAAACTTTTTTTAAAAAAATTGCCATTCTTGAAGGCTCTAACTAAAAATTCTTCTACAATTTCTTAGTCAGTGATTTTATTTTAATATCCTGTTATCTATTATATTTAATAGAATATTAAATAGATTATTTTTATTTTAATATAAAATAAACTAATCTTAGTACCATATCTCTATGTTAGTGGAAGACAGTTAACCCCATCTTTATCAGACGCCCCCCCCACCTCCCCATAAAATTAAACAAATAATTGTGACTGCTCCAGCTGCGCTAAATGTTCAGTATCATTAACTTACTACGCTATAATGCAATTTAAAAATATACATATACCTATTTTAATTTAATTTTTATATCCTTTATGTAAATTTTTTTTACTAGGGGTTGTATAAAGATGTGTAATTGCTTCTTAATATTTCTTGCAGAAGTTGATTTTTAACTTTAAAAATTTCTAGGAGTCTACAGTTAAAAATTCAGGGGAATCTTTTCGGAACATTCCATGAATATAGGATTTCAGTTTTTATTTGATAAACATCAATTTGATTATATATATATATATAATTTATATATATATTTAAAATTTTTTTTTTTAAAAACAAATTATTTTTCGATTTAGCTAAAAATATATAAACATCAGGATGACCTTATTTTGATTTACCGAAATATTTGTTATTTTAATAATATTTAGTAGATTAGTTTGATTATATTATATCATATCATAGATAGATAACGCAAGAAGATAAAAATGAATAGTAAAAAAAAAGGATTTGAAAGGAAAGGAGAATTATATTAAAATAAAGCGCGAAACCTCTTGACATGCTAATCAGGAAAAAGAACAAATTAAACAAATAAATTATAATATTTTTTATATTTTAAAGCCCTGACTCATATACGCCCACTTAGGATTCATCCAAGTTATCTCTTAGGATCATCCGTCTTTTTTTTTCTACTAAATTCAGCATCTGGCCCCCAAAGGAGATTAAAGTCGTTGCGACTAAGAGTATTTAAGTGATGTTCTACGGAGTCTATTTATTTGTTTTAAGATCTTCTGGAAATTTTAGGATGCTCCTGTTAATGTTGAAGTTTGATCAACGCAAGAAAAACCCTGTGATGAACCGATCTATTTCCCATAGAAAATTGATGATGTTGTGTGTAGTGTTGTTAAACGGCTTGATTTGACTTGATTCTTAAAAATGGCTAACTCAATATTTTGGCCAGAAAAATAGCTTAAGCGTCGAGATTTTACTAATAAATGTCCAAACGTTTATGCCATCTATGAGCAAAGTTTTCAGGCTTGCGTAATAATTTTCTCGATAAAATATTGAGTTAGCCGTTTTTAAAAATCGGCTCAAATCGAGCCGTTTAACAACACTAGTTGTATGGTCGTGATTAATGCTAACTACATGATTTCTTGTTTTTTTTGATGAATCAAAATTTGATAAGCAATTGTTGGCAGGGACCCAAACCGTTATTTATAACGGTTCAGTTTGGTTACTGTAAAAAATTATAATGGTTACGTTTTGGTTACGATTATTAAGAAAAATTTATAAAGGTTCGGTTCACCTAATTATAAAGGTTCATTACGGTTAGAAATTTTTTTTTTTGAAGCAACACCATCTTTTGACTTATTTTTATTATAAGCATCTATGAATTATATATAAAAAATATATAAAATTTAAAATAACTCATTTTTAAATATAAATGTAATATATTTTCTAATGTAATGGATTTTTTTGTTCGTTGTGACGATAACACAAATTTTAGCCTCAAAAAGGCCCTTTCTATTTGTGTTGCGGGAATTGCCAGTACTTTAAGGGTAGGTTTATATAATTCTCGATATTCAAATTATTTCCACTTCTAAAATATAAAAACTGAACCGGTTTGAACCGGTTTAACCTTTTTTTATATAGGTTCTTTTTACTCCTTCAAAAATTAATTACATCGGTTCGGTTACGGTTATGGTTCAGATATTTATAACGGTTCATAATGGTTTAACGGTTCATTACGGTTCACTCCGGGTCCCTGATTGTTGGTTAAAAAGAAATAAAAAATGGTTAAAATGTATTGTAAAATAAAAATTATAAATTTTATTTAGCAGATTAAAAAATTTTATACAATTTATTGATGACTATATTTTTCGGTCATAATATTGTATTTTTATAGCCTTTTATATCTAATATCTGGAAAAAATATATAGCAAAAGCTC